CGGAGATAAGCCCGGACCATCCCCTAATGGTGTTCACGTACCACCATGGGAAACACCCACCCTCCTCCGGTATGGGATAGCCTATCAGACAGCCGGCGAACCCTCGGACAGGACGCGAAACGAGGGACCAGGGCCGTGACGGCATTCTATGCATTTTAAAAGGCCACGAATTACATTACCCGAATCATCTCTCTCTCTCGCTCTCCCTTGCTCTATTTATTCGGATACCCCGAGCAAACAACATTTATACCCATGAATTTTCACTTTTGTCTTTGCCATCTCAGACCTCGATGGTTAGGCTGATTAATTATGCGGGCTTTTCGAGAAACGCTAATTTATTCATTCGTTTGGTTTCAGGAAGAACAGCTCGACGCTCGAGAAATTCCAGTTGCAGATCTCCAGGACGGAACTGTACCCCGTCAACTCGAAGTATGTGGATCGGCTGCTGCTGGAGATTGCCACCAAGCCCATCGTTCATGTTGGTGAGTCTCTTGATAGTTTAACACTTTTTACCCGCCGCTGTCACGTACGCGTGATTATCATTCCGATGCTTGTATAGGAATATTGATGCTGTTTTTAGAGAAACAATTGCTTCCACTGTCCTCCCTTCTCAGTTTACCAGATCGTCTTTTGTTAAAATCTTTTAAGCAGATTCTGTTAGTTTGAAACTGTCTTTTGCTACCTTCCTGCGTCATACTCGCCCACGCCAATCTAACGATGCGATAAATGTGCGGCCGGCAAAGTGTTAAATCATATGAATTTTACTTTATTTTACCTATACGAGTGCTGTCGAAGTAGTTCGTGTTATCGAAGAATAGGTAGTATGTAGGAACAGTTATTATGGTATTGTCAAGTAGAATACTATCTTTGACAAAATGGTGATAAAATAAAGAGAAAGTGAATTATTTACGTAAAGTATCGAGAGGTTCAACGATTTCGAATGCCTTTTTTGATTAGATAATCATTGATACTCTAATTACTTCGTCGATGAGAAGCAGCGAGAATTGAGGAAGTTTAATCGAGAATATGGTGAAGTTTTAGATGAAAGAAAGATACTTTCCCTCGTGATTTCCTCGGAATATTCGAGCTGCGCGACATAGGGCGAAAGCGTTCAGTAGAACCGGAACGCCACTGGTCAGACGTCCCATCCCGAGCGCCATGCATAACAATCGAAATTCTTGGCCGGTGGATGTTGATCCCGTTCCCTCGGGGGGCATTACAACGATCGAACCCCACGCTGTAATATAAATTTTGCGAGCGACAGTGCACGCAAATCGTGCCCGGAATTTTTCCCCGGGCGAAATAATGGATGGTAAGCCGGAGACCGTACGTGGGCCTTTATTAAATTTCACGGTGGCTCGAAAATGAATCAACTTTCCCCAGGAAAGATCCCCCGAGTTTCGCGGGGAATTAATTTATTCGTCTGAGAAAAATGTGAAAAACGAGGAGGAAGCGAAAAGATTCGAGCTCTTCTACGCGGACTGTTTACCGTGCACTCGCGGCTCTCTGACTTTAAGTAATTAAGAAACAAAAACATGCTCCGAAGTTTCAATATTAATAGAGCGCGCGGGCCGGAAAGAGGATGAAAGTTAAAGCTCCTTTAGATTTCTCCATTCAAACGGCGAATCTTTGGTATTGGATAACTGAAGTGTTGGAACTCGGAGGTTCGCTGTACGTTGCGAGTGCTTTGATTATTAAATTCTTTTCCGTTTCGGTTCGAGAAGTTTGGGTGTTATTGAACGTGAAGTTCTGCGTGCGTTTGAGCAGTTGGGAACGTGGATCTTTTTGTATTCGGGATTTGAGTGTTAGAACTCTTGAATGTTAGGCAAGTGTTAGGACTCTTGAATATTGGAACTTTTAAATATTAGAACTCTTAAATATTAGAACTCTTGAATATTAGAATTCTTGAATATTAGAACCTTCAAATATTGGAATTTTCAAATATTAGAACTTTCAAATATTAAAACTCTTCAATATTAGAACTTTCAAATATTAGACCTTCCCACGTTAAAACTCCAAACTATCAAAACTTCTAAATATTAACTCCAAAACATTTCAACGTTGAAATATTGGAATTTTCGCATATTAAAACTGGAACATTCAAACTCAAATATTACAACTTCCGAATATCGTCACTCTCAAACATCACAACCGTCATCCATTCAAACTCTAAAAAACTAAACAAACAAGACGACCCATCGATCTTTTATTACTCGAATAATCAAGGTACCCCGTCCATTCCACGCATTGCTTTAAAATTCCACAAGGATCGCCGGCCGCGAAGCGAATCGCTCCGGAATTTCGCGGGAACGATAACGAAGCGGCCGGCGCGACAAACGGAACGAACGGCGGCGGGGCAGGGAATTAGAAGCGCGGGCATAAAATTAATCTGGAAAGGCCGGAGCGCCAATGATCGTCTCTGTTCGAATTAATTTCTCCGCGGACCATGAAGCCAGTCAATTAACCGGTGTTATTGTGACCGTGGCTTTGTGCTTAGTAATTGCCGGGACGCGGTTCATTGACTAACAATGCCGATCGGAACACCGGTTGGAAGAGCGAAACAGACAGCGGTTCTCGGCCAGCGGAACGTTTTAAAATTAGAGCTGGCACCGCGTTGCACGCGCAATTTCCGGCTCGATCGTCGTGTCGACTACCGCTCGATTATTTATATTCGCGACACGTATGCGCGTGTTCATACACGCACGGGCACCGCCACACTTTTTTATCTTGTCGTCGCTTGAATGTCATCCTGCAACGCTCGCGGTTTTCAAAGAGCTCGGATATCATTGTCCCACCGTCGATTATCGAGCCACCCGTCCGTACGTTCTCCACGAAAAAAAAATACACCCGGTATTACGCGATATTTGCGATCCGTGTAATTTGTATCAATAATTCCAACGGAATTATTAATTATTGCATTACCCGAATAAATATGATTACAATGAGGTTATGAATATTGAAACCGGTGAATTATGAAAATGATAAATTCTGGATGCGAAAAGTTATATATTATAAACATCGAAAGTTGTGAATTATGAACGTTAATGATAACGAGATAAATGTGTATCTCTCGACGAGCGGAAAAATTACTTTCTTTCGTTGTTCATTATAGTATTATTATATTCTCTTATTATCAATCATAACATTACGATTTTTAATTGTTTTATTCGTTATGCTATTATATTAGATTATTAGCAATATTTGCTATATATATTCTCTCATTAGGAACCATAACATTGCCATTCTTAATTGTTTTATTCGTTATAGTATCACCATATTCTCTCATTATCAAGCATAACATTGCCATTCTTAACCCTTTGCACTCTGTAGGCTCCAATATTGCACCAGTTATAATATTAAATATTTTAATGAATCTTAAAAAAACTACCCTAAAATTATTAGATTCTCCACACATCCAAATTTTCTACTAAGAAGGAAAATAAAATACCGAAGAGATGTTATAGCATTTCTCATTTTGGCTAGGAATACCATAAAAATTAGTTACAGTTGCTGATAGATTACAAAACAACCTGTAGTGCTAAGGGCTAATTGTTTTATTCGAAATATTAGCAACTATAAAATCCGACGAAACACTCGAGAAGTTCAAAGGTTCGAAACGGCGTAAGTCGATTTCGAGATTCCCGGATCCCGGATAGCAATTTCGATCGCGTTCGTTGAGACAGTTTGTTAAACAAATCGCGCGACGGGGGAACGAAGTTAAATCAGCGCCAAGGAGTTCCCGGTCGCTTGGGACGCAATTATTAAGCAGTATCGGACTGCCGTAGGAAATTAGATCGTCGATCAGAAGGTAGGATAGGACAAAGACGCCCGGGCCGAGCATCTCGGTGACAAAGCGGGTCGATCGCAACTTGCTAAACAATAATTAAATTGCGCGCGGAGGGAAAGACAGAGGACGAGAGACAGCCGCCATTCGATACTCTCGTAGCAGATTTCGATACGTAATCACGATCCACGAAATTAGACGTTTAATCAGCACGAAATCCTGGCGGTGCTGCGCGACGCTCCGTCGCTCCGTCGTTCTCGGGAACTTTCCTCGCCGGAATTCAATTTGTCTAAACAGAAATTTTTCTTTGCCCTCCCTTGGCACGCTTCGTTTTCCATTCTGCGTTCTTCCGCGCTTCATGCCGCTTCGTTTGCTCGAGTCTTACCTTCATGGAACTGCCGACCGGTAAAGTTGATTGATCTGTTCTTTCCCGTGTAAATTGTATTTTCTTGTATATACACTTGTAATCGTTCATTGAAATTTATATTTCATTTATATTTCGGAATTGTAAAGTGTGAAATTCGTTTCCCTACTAATTCGTCAAAAATATAGTTTCAGTAATTTTAAGAAGGTATCTCATGCATCTGTTCGATAATTAAGAATCGTTAT